GTTGTCCGGGCAGCTGGCATCAGAAAAATAGAAAGCCATGAGAAAATTGTTTTCTTGTGAAAAACTCTATAGATTAACAAAAGACAACTTCTTTTTCTCTACAAAGACTGATGAAAAGACTATAGCAAAGCTGGGAATGTTTTAACCACCAGGCTTATTTTGTCTCTATGTTGTCATGTGAATAAGAGAATGGTTGGGTAGTGGGGAAAGAGGGTTTCTGGAGGTTTTATTCTGGTTTCTTATTCTTGTAGTTCTGTTAATAAAGTTTCTTTATAACTTTGAAGTGTTAAGCCTGTTTTGCCCTTCTCCTAATCCATATCTCACTGCAAGAAATAACTAAGTATTCCAGTGTCGTGGTTTTAAAGCATTAGCTAAAAAATTACTAGAAAACGTATTCATTTCTTGTTGTGAGGCATGTATTAGAAGAAGGGCAAAACAGGCTTAACACTTAAAAGGAATAAAGAAACTTTATTAACAGAACTACAAGAATAAGAAACCAGAATAAAACCTCCAGAAACCTTGTCTCCCCACCCCATCTTTCCTTTGCCCAACTGACAACAAAACTTGGGATGTTAATGCAATATTAAATATACAATAGTCTTTTCATCAGTCTTTGTAGAGAGAAGAGTTCTCTCTTGTCATTCCACGGAGTGCTCTCCACAAGAAAAATGGTTTTCTTGTGGCTTTTCATGTCCATGTTTGGCAGTCACCCGGAAAAAACTCTGCCATCATGCTTTCCTCCTATTTTCACAGCAGTCTGAGGTATGTCCATGGGCCATGAACTCATGGGGTATTATTTTAAGGATGAATTATTCAAAGGCAAAGGTTCTCTTAATCTGTCTCTGTGATCAACTCTGGGAACAGAGGTTTTCTTCTTTTCTCCCTGGGGGCAAAAGGTCTTCATTAACTCTCACTTCTCTCTCTCTGTTCTAGCATCTTATGGGATCACAACTACTCTACTATCTGCTTAGCTTCATCAATGGATACCTTTGCTTAGATTCACAGTTTGAATAATTCATTCCCCCAATATTCTTTTCATGAATTAAAGGAGTTATTCAGAACATTATTGTCCATCTCCATGGCCTTACCAAAAAAATATTTCAGCTTATTAAAGCATCTCCTCATTCTCCTCTGATCTATCTGAGGCTTGATTCCTTCCTTCACTGACTTCGATGTTTTATGTTGTCTCTACACATTGATCACTCTTGCCTTCCTCTCTGTGGAGAGGGAGATTAAATCTGCAAGTCTCATCTGGGTAGTAAAACGGTTAAAATCCGGCCCAAGCCGCAGCAGGTATTCATGGGGTCAGATTTCAGCTCAGCAATGCTGAAAAAAGTGGATTGTTTTCAGCCTGGAGCTGTCTGTGTGGGCCATGGGGGCGAGATGTCAGCAGCCATGGCCTGCTCCAGCCCAGGGACAGGTGCCACAGCAGAGCCCGGCCTCGCCTGAGGCTGGGGAAAGCTCCTCGGTCTCCATCCCCCACCCAGGAGCCGCTGGAGTCTGGCTCAGCCCCCTCCCCCCAGTCCGGACAGGCCACGGGGGGAGCAGGGACAGCCAGAGTTCTGTTACCTTTCCAGGCTGGAAACAAAGAGAGAGAGAGAAGTTCCCGGGTTTTGGTTTAAAAGCTGGTATTCACAAAGGTTATCTTACTTTTCAGTGGTCTAAAATGCTGTCAGTTCTGAAAACTGGCCAGCTATTGGCTTGATCTCAAGCAGAGAAGAAACTCCCAGCAGCCTCTCTCAAAGCCTTCACTTCCATGTTTTCTACTTTTTTTTTTTTTTAAATGCCAAACCATCACAAATGTAGACACTTACTTGAAAGAAACTAAAAGCAGCAATGTTGATATATTTTATATATTAGTAAAGGCCTGTATGCACAAACCAGCCTTTGAAATAAGTCGTGATATTAAGGGCTAAAATCCTTGAAACTTGCCTGCAGAAGAGAGAGTAAAGCAAAACAATATTCTTGTGTGTAGGAGAAAAAATGTAAACCTGTGTGTGTTAGCCAATAGTAGCTTGCTCTGCCTGCAGACCCTGTAAAACCCTATAAAAGGTGTGCTAAAGATAGAAATAAACGGCGTTCATGATTACTTCTGTGAAGACTGGTGAATAAGCTGGTGGTCTCTCAATACAGCAAAGTGGTAAGTTGTGTGCAGAAGGTACAGAGTCTAAGGCAGCATAGAGGAAACTGAACAAATACCTACTGCCTATCAAAAAAGATTTGAGGAAGACCATATATATACACACACACACACTACAAAGCAGTAAACCACTAGGAAACTTCCTTTCAAATGAAGATTACATCCAAATGAGAGAAAAAAAAAAAAGTTTAAAAAAATTTTAGTTTAAAAGTGGTTTTGCTTTTTCATGACCATAGGCATTTGGGAAGTTCCTGTATCAGAAGCCTTTCCCATGCAGAATACTTTGGAGACTATGTCGCTAATCAAAGCAGCAGCAAAAAATAAAATCATACAATTTAACAAAATTAAAAATAAGTAGTTTCCAGGAAAAGATTATGTCCAGCTAAGAATTTCAAAAGTACTCAAGGATTAAATAGCTGAACTGCTCACTGTAATGCAACCTCCTGATTAAAATTCCCTTGTTATGAGGGAAGTGGAAAATAACAAATGTAAAGCTATTTATAAAGATGCTAGGGGAACCAGAGGATTGCAGACTAATAATTCTGAAATCCAAGTTTTAATTTTTATACTAATAATAAATTACAATAAAGAGTAGTAGTAAATAGAGAATAGAAATAATTACAGCTGGGAGATAAAACATAGAATTTTAAAATAGAAAGTGTCACAGTCTGAAGTGGAAGAACAAGCAAGTGAGGAAGAAATGGTTGATGCAGAGCTCACCCCAGGCACCTTAAATACTATGAATTCATATAACCCAAAAAGCAAGTGGACAAATTACAGCAGCTAAGTCCTGGCAAGCCTGACCCCAAAGTTTTTGGAAATAGCAGAAAATTCTTCAAAAGTGATTGCGGAATACAAGATAAACTGACAACTTTCTGAAATAAGAAATACTTCCATAAGATCAGTTCATCAGTGGCAAAAAAACTTAGTTGTGAAAGCAGAGATCAAAGACATCACATGTGGCCTTTGAACTCCTGAACACCAGTTGGCACTGAACTGTTTTACCCTCAGTCATCACCATAGCCTGTTTCTGTGACTGTCACCACCATCACTCCACACGGTAGAATTGCTGCCTTCTTTGAAACTCAAACCAAACAACCTCACAATTCATCAAAGAATGGTCCATTACACAGTCTCAAATTTAATAATCCACGTGGAAAACTTAGAGAATGTGTCAGAGTATATGAACATCAGTATTCTTTGAAGCTCTAATCTGCTATTCTTTTCTTCTAGTAAATAGATGACATGTGGCTGCACAGTCTAAAGGAAACCAGAACTGTTCCAATTTCATTAGGAGATCAGGCTTAGAAGGGCTACCGGGTTGGGGTTTAGTAGTGACACTTGAAACACTGGGAAGAATATTTTACATTTAAACTTTGTTTATATTCAAGCAATAGCTGAGAGTTTTCTGCAATAAAAACAATAAAATCTCCCACTACATTCCTATTTACACTTAAAAAGATACTCATCCATAACTGCTTGTTAGATTTACTGGACTGGAAAGGGAAAAGAGCGTATTTACAGAGATTTCCAAATAAGCGGATGGAACTTTTATGAGCCTGAGAATATATAAGAATATATAGAATATATATAATAACATATATACAAATTCTTATGTATAAGAACTCCTACCAGAATCTTTGTATTGTTCCAGAGCACTAAACCCCACCCCCAAAAAAACAACCAATCAATCAACTAACCCAAAAAACCAGCCCACAAGCCAACTTTTTTCTGAACTGTATTACTCAGTCCAGATTTCACTGAAAGGTCTATGGGGGAATATACTGTATGTGAAGATATTCATCTTTCCTACAGATGTTTTTAAGAATGGAGGTTTGGCATTTTAATTGGCAAAATAATGTGGAAATGTTTTAAGTATAATATTCTAAATGTCATTGTAACATAGAATATAAGTTCAAAAAGACATTAGGATTTCTAATTTCTTACAACTTGTTCTTTATAGAATTTCCATCCAGAAACTTCAAGAACAGATTTATTTTTAACTGACTAAAAATTTTAAATCAATTATACTCTACTCCAGAGCTATAACTGGTGTTCCCCAAATTAAGATATTTAACTGCAAAATATGAAATCACTCAATCTTTTTTTCCAATTCAGAACTGAAACTATAAAATTATGTAGTATCTGCTATCTACAATGGGGTTTTTGGCTTAGTGTTTTTGCTATTTTTTAGAACACAAATCTGAATACCACAAAGTTTCCAATTAACAGAGAATATACCATCACATTTAAAGTTATTATGATCTTTTTGTGTAGCACGTACAAGCAGCAACTTTTTTTCTAAATTTCCATTCTTGCAAAAATTAATATTGCAGAGTAAAAGTCATGTATTTAGAAGATCAGTGCAAAATTTGCAGAGAAATCTAAAACAAGTCATAAACCCTTCTCTTACAGAAGTACTCTAAGCTAGGCATGAAGAAACATGTCATTGTCAATAATCACCCTCAAGACAGAACACCAACCATAGCAGAACTGCAGAGATTGTAAAACTCTTGAATACCATCATCAGAATCCACACACAGCACCTCAGTTATAACTGGTCACTCAGCTACTGGTGTTAGAAACAATCAGAAAGGATGAACTTTAGATCTCTTAATTTTTCTTTTTTTAAATTCAGCTCAGTGACTCTCTAAGAACATGTGTTTTTACCCTGGGGGCATCCCTTCCCACAGGTCTCTATACTGCTCCATTACCGTTCCCACAATAAGAAAATGATGAAGGCAAATCATTTTTGATTAGGGTACGTGCACCCTACACCTCAATTCAGCATGATTCACATGACACTTCTACTAACGCGTTATTTTTAATCTTTCTACACACTGTTTAAAGAACTTTTAGCAAAATTCTGCTTTTCACACTGAGTTTGAACCACTGTAACAAGTAGGATAAAAGTCAAGAGAAGCGTTAAGTTTAAAGCAGGAAACAGGTGAGACCTCAGGGGACAGGTTAGATCTATTTTTCTAAAAGACAATTATTCAATTTCTTCTGCCTACCCTGAAAGAAGTGGACCTTTAAAACTAATTACAAAGACAAAATCAATACACAGAAATAGTGGCATTTTTTTGATACTCACCTTCTCCATTACCAGGTCAATCATGCTGATCTTTGAATTGTACAGTATTTTCCCATGTAATAGAGGTTTCAGGAAAGTCCATAGCAAAGCCCCATTAGGAGCCTGCAAAATCTCCTGATAAAGCTTCAAGCAAAAAGGAGCTGCAAAAACAAAGACAGACTCACATTTAAGATAGACAACACAGGTGAGATTGAATTTTTTTATTCAAATAAAAGATTGAATCTTATTTAGAGTCTACCACAGCACCATGACAAAAACTGTTACCAGTATTTTGGTAACACCATCCAGCTGCCACTAAGTTATCAGTACAGGCCCCTATAGAAATTGTTTAAACACGGTCTAAGATAGTATTGAGGATGCAGAACTCTAAACACTGAAATGGAAAAAAAAAAACAAAACAGAAGCTAGAGTTCCTCACATTTCTGAAAAGCAGCCTATGAATCCCACCTATCCTAAGTGTTACATTAGTGCAATTTACAGCAGAAGGACATATGCAAAACATCTGCCCACAAAAGTGAATTCAAAGGGAAGAGTCACCTGAAAAAAAAAAAATTCCTTCCACACTGTCCATTGTTCTCTAGCTTTGGATTTCTATATAAGAAAGAAGTACGAATATACAAAATCCTTCACAAATACAGACTTTTCTTTTTGTATATTCTTAAAAGAACCTATCAAAAAGGCAAAATTTTGATTTGAAAAATCTAATTAATTGTCTTTTCCATTCCTTAAGTAAAAAACATATTCCTACATCACATAGGCTACTAATGTATTAGTGTATGTCCTTCAGAACTAGGATCTAAGGAATAGTTTCCAAGATATCCCACTGCATTTGTACTCACGTAAAGGCAATGAGTTCCTATAAGAAATATTTCCATTTTTATACCCAACTCATATTTTGGGGGGTTTTATTATTTATTACAAGTGTTTTCAAAATAACCTGTTTCTAGTACTCTGAAGAAATATTAAATAATATCATTAACTCTCAAGGAAGACAAATCTTTTTACATAATGGAAAACTAGGCCAAAACCATTTAAACTACTGACAAAAGCTAAAGAAAGAAGTGTCAGAAACGTTTCATCAAGAAAGGCCAGTTCTTTGACCAAATTTTTACTTTCTTGAATGAAACAATCATTATTAAACACAATCCTTGCAAAACAATAGCAAAGAAATAAGAGGCTACAAGTTGGCTAGACAGAAATGTCAATATACTAAGGACACAGAAGACTTGCTAATCTGGGTTTGCTGTGATCTTCAGAAAGTCATTGGGAAGTATTTGGTATGCACTAAATACATACAAGTTAATCACTGTGAAGTGGTATGAATCAAGTTTCTGTGGCTTCATTTTTTTTAAAATTTTCATTTTCAATTGCCCCATTTACAAATTTGTAAAATATGGGCAACAGTATTAATTCACTTATTGAAGCGCTGGAACTAACTGATGCCTTAAATATTTCAGAGTCCTATGGTAAAAAGTTCTCACAGCACAGAAGAGTTGCAACAACCTGGAAAAAAAGATCAAGAAACAGTGCTTCTGGCCTAAACAGCTTTTAAAGAGACTAAGCTCCAAACAATCTGTCTAATCAGCCATCCAGCTGACTTCATTCTTCCAACAGGAAAGAAAAACAGAGCTGCCTGCTTACTACTACATCCCACACATGCAAGTGAGAAGGCCAAAGCAGAGCTCTGGCTCCCTCCCAAGGGTCCCAGGCAAGACAGGAGCAATTTCTGCCTGTAGAAATCAATAGATGACAGAGGCTTCCCTAGTGACACTCTATCACTGTATTCTTCTCTTGCACAGGGCCGCCTGAGGCACTAACAAAGTTATTAACAATATTAAAATTAATCAGGGTAAATCGAACATGTACTGAGGAAAGGAGCAAAGGTCAAACTACATGAGAGCTAAGGGATTTTTCTGAACACTTGACAAATAGAATAGGAATATCAACCATTAAAAAACTCATTCTATCTGGACGGTTTGCATCAATAATGCACAGCTTTGTGTTCACTGAAGAAAGGCAAGCAGCAATAAATTCTCAATCTTGCATCTCTAAGATATATTTTTAATACCAAGTGCTTAAAAAATTTTAATGAAATTGTCTCAAAGACAGGAATAACCTTATTCATTATTTGCAAAGATAGAAAAAACAATCTCTTCTGTCTCACCCGCAATTATCTCATAGCCACTTAACTTTCATTGATCAACACTTTGTGCTCAAGGTGGCAGTGTCAATTGAGATGTCAGTGGGTATATAGACATTTCCATTTAAGCGGGAAAAAAATTCTCTTAACTCTGAATTCATACTGCAACTTGTCATTGATATTTTTTTCTTACTTGAGTCTTCAGGAATGCCATATTTTGCCATATTGTCCTCCAAAAGTTCCATGATTCTGGGCATATCTATGAACAGGTTTACATTGCTGAAAAATGAAGATTCTTCTTTACATACTGCCTTAATCACAGACTCTAGGGATCCAACAGCTGAACTTCTGAACTGCCCACCCTGCAAAAACTAGAACAAATGAACAAAACCACAGATGTATCAAAGTTGGTCTAAGTAGCTTCAAGGAGTAGCCCTGGTCTGTCAATATTGACATCTAAGAAAATTAACAAAATTAAGCTGTTGAAACAGCCTATTAGGATGAGGGCCTGCTGTGCTCGTTTCTGTTCTTCTGATCACTACTATTATGGTGAAAGTTAATGTAGTTTTAATTGTCAGGATACTCAGTGAAAGACAGTAGCATAAGGTACTATATTGAAACTAGAAAAATACTGTGTAGCAGTTAGGTAGAAAAGGAATGAAAATAGCAAGACAACCGGACTACAGATACCCTGATTCCAATGCCAGTTTTCACAAAAGGTGCTCTTCCAGTAGAATATTGTCACAAAAGCAGAAGAAACAACTAAAACTATTTTGCTTTGAATATTTACAGTGAGGACGGTTGCTAACATGAAAAAAAATTAAATATTCAGATGCACATGCCCTAAAAGCCTATTTTTCAAGTACATCTTTTAACTTGTTATATGTGCTTAGTTTTTGCACACCTTGAGTCATACCAGCGTTTATTATTGCCATTTGTTCATGACTAGCATACTTCTAATGAGGAGAGAGAGCAATCTGATTGCTTTTATGGATTAAGCACCATCATTCACCACATTCAAAAAGAAAGAACAACAATAGTCTCATCATCTCTGCAGCTCTACATTTCATATAATGGGCTCGATTGTAAGTGATATCTCATGGAAGGCTGTACAGGTGCACAGCTCTAAGATGACACAACCACAAGGCTGCTGTGGTACAACTGAAGAGTGCACCGGCTCGCCTGATACTCATTACTGCTGCAGATGTTTGTTAAGAAGGGTATAACAAGACTATCAGACATCATTTGAAGACTCCACAACTGGCAAATAAAAAAAACAGTGTGATATGTCAACCACACACATTCAGCACTCAAAAAAATTAGCATTTTATAGTCGAAATTTTTTAAACAGAAGAGTCAATTTTCAAAGTAATACAGCACCTTACATAAAGGCATAATCACAGACAGTTTGGAAATTGCACTGCTGGAAACAGTTTATCCTGATCGATGCATTTATTGAAGTGCCAGGTGCTTCTTTAGTAATCCTGGAGGAATATTAGTGTAGTTTAAAACTCAGTGTTAGCTGCTCCCAAAATCTTACTTTTAGGATACAGTTTCAGCACAGAGAAAAGTAAATAAATAATATCCATATTTCATAATAAAATCATCCACAGCCCTTGAATTAATCTACTGGCATGGACTTCACTGAAGAAATAAATTTTATTTATGCACAATGCTGCATAAAATTGGTTATGAATCTTCATTAGTGACTATTTGCACTAGAGGAATAAATGAGGCTTGTTTCAGTCAAAGAGCACAAATGTGCTAATTAATTCCAGTTCAAATCAAAATAAGTTAAATTCAAATAATGAATATTCATGTGGTAATCTTCCACTAATAGGTTGAATGTACTCACTGTCTTTCAACTAAATATGCACTGGCTTAAAAAAATATGTTTCTTAAAGTTTGGCTTTGATAACGTATGAGAAATATATAGTATGGATTTCACCAAAAAGAAAAAAGTCTTTGATCTAGTTGGTCTATTTTAAACTGTATAAAGTATGGATTAATCAGTCTAGATTACAGCCTAACAACCAGCCTCCTACAAACTAATCAGTCAAGCAAGTCACTGTAACAAATTCATGGAAGAGGAAGGCTGGTATGGAAGATTAAAAGGTTATCTGGAACAGGATTTTCAAATGAAGGCAAAAACCTTACAGCATAGGAGCTTCTGACATAACCAAACAGCTGTGTGCCTAAAAAATGTTATGAATAAAAACAAATTCACATGGAATAGAAATACCAGCTACTCAAAAAAAGAAACTTAAAAGTTATACTGAGCTACATCTTGTATATAAATCTAAAATACATTCCAAATCATTACATTAGAAAGAAAAAAAGAGAGAGGAAAAAAAATATGCAATTTTCCTGGAAAACTACAAGGAGCTTAAAGATAATTCAAAATTTGATGAAACCAAAGGGCTAAAGGAAACAAATTCAGAGAAACAGATAATCCTAATTATTGGGAAAAACCATAAACAGAATAAAGTATTTTCTGTTGTGAAACTGACAGAATCAGGGGGATAACAGAAAAATTGCCAATTTGATTAAATAGTTTTTCAGAAGGCTACCAAATTTAGATGGCACTATTTGAAAAGTAGAAAAATCATATACATTCAAGAACGAGTAATAAAATTATCCAGGACATAATGGATATCTGGTTCTGATATTTATTAGAGCAAGATATACAGTAAATTTTAAAGTGGAGAACATTAAAGACAAAAAACGTTTAAGAAGTAAAATTTAATGCATTTTCAAGTTATCATTTCTGACCAACACAACGTACTTATGTGAGTGGCCAATCCCTTTCTCCACATAAAAGGTACAATGCTGACTCAAATTTAGGTGAACTCTAACAACAAACTAATATTCCTCCTCTAGAAAACATCAATCATCATTAATCCAATTGCTGATTAATAGTGGTGGGTAAAAAATGGCATTAAGAAGATATTGCAAGGAGTCTGTTAACAGGAAAGAAAGCACAGGATTACAGAGAAGTTATTAGTGTTATTCCTCTGAGCCCTGGAAGAAGCAAATTGTCTAATTTTTCCTATCATTTAATACCAGAAGGCGTTGCAGGAGAGAAGAAGATCAGAACGCAATATGGAAAAAACACAAATACCTAATTCAAAGAAAATTGAATGAATAGAAAGACAACCAGTACAAAATCTTATTTATCAACTGAAATCGTGAGCTGTTGCTATAACATGGGGGTCACCTCAGTATATCTTTCATCCTTAATCATCTAAGAGACAAAACTCTGTGCAGTTTATGAAAAAGTTGAATGCAAGTTTAGGAAAGTCATTTTAGTAGGCATAGAAAAGAATAAGCAGGCTAAAAGTAACATCAGTTGTAATACCCCTCAAACACTGTACACATCTCTTCTTCCAGACATTCAGGGTTAGCCTTAACCAGCATGCAAAAACAATGCTGGGTTGTCTTAAGCAACTGAGAGCCTGATATAAAAGGAAAAACTAAAGCAAAAAACAAATACCAAAACAAGCAATTTCAACTTATCAGAACAGAGAAGGACTGTGATTGGCCTTCCACAAACATATGAGCAAGCCAGAGAAGTCAAATATGCTAGAATATTTTTGATATAAGAATAAAATAGTAGACACAAATAAACCTAAGTCAGAATTTTATTCATTTAAAACCCCAACAGGTTCAACAGACAAATTGTTCAAGTTAGTGGAGGGATTACAGAGTGAGGTCTCCTCTCACAATTAACAGCATTCAGCAACTCAGGAAGTCCCCTGCATCTTATCTATTGATGAGTGAGAAGCACCCAAAAAATTAGGTATAAAAATATAAGTCAATAATTTCAAACAGCAAAACACAAGCAAAAATCATGATTGAAATCAGCAGTGTTTTTCCTCAGGGAGTTATCCATTCACTCAGTGTTTTTAACAGTAGAATCTGGCACCATAATCCAGTTACTGCTGATGGGTAGATAATCAGTTTTTACATCATCTTTTCTTATAATATGTGTACCTGCACAGTTGACAATTACTTTGTTACCTCTTTCATTATAGAAGTAATTTTTTTAAATCAATGTATTTCTGACAAAGGTCTACATATTTTATTTACATTCTTTATCTGATTATCTTTCCATGTCACTGAACTACTTTCCTCTTGGTAATCAAGAAAAAAAAAATCCAGAAGAATGGACTCTTTCAGAAATAGAAGAAAACATTTAAGGAGGCTAGTGTATAAGAGATGAATGCACTTCAGTGGAGCACTTATTCAATAGCACAAGTTTGGCCACCATAGAAAAGAAACAAAAAATAATCAATAATTAAAACTTTTTGCAAAGTATAAAAAAAAACCAAGTTAAGCATGAAAAAAAAGGACACACTTTTACTGGTCTTCAAAATTTAAAAAACCAAAAAGAGTTATGGAGACAGAAGAGCCCTTAAAATCACAAATGTAATTTATTAATAAAATAAATAGGCACTGATTATTTTAATCCTCCACAAATTATTAGGTGACCAAAAAGCCCCAGCAACTTCACAAGAATAGGGGATTTAGCAAAACATTAGAAAATAAAGACTGTGTTCAAAAAAGTGATCAAAAATGGTTAGAACTGAAAAAGAAAAAAAAATTCCAATATCTGTATGGGATAATAGGGGTGGCCACTGAGCAAAGTTTAAAACTGTGAGCAGATGGCCCTCTGCTGTTCCATTTGTTCCTTTGCAAACTTTTTTTAAACAGCCCTTTTTGAGAGGTTCTTCTATCAAATAAGGAACTTTGGGATTTTAGTCCAAAAATAGTATTTTGTTTGCTGGAAGGGAAGTCTGACACAAACAGAGCTAGTTTAATGAAAGCAATAAAAATGCAAGTGTCTGATGACCATTCATTGTGGCAGCTGAAGAACTACCCCAAAAAGAGAGGCTCAAAAACCAAAACTGATAGATGCACCAGAACAGCATTTTTCAACATGTCTCTATCACACAGATTAGAAGATCTTGAAAAATGTATCACTAAGGAAAATAGTACTTCAGCAGCGTTTACTCTGTACTCTAGCAATAAGCCAGGTTGCACTGTTTACCACTGTGGGATCTTTTAGACGTTTGCAGTTTTAAACCAGATTCAGTCCTCAGTTTTCCACAAAGGACAAAAAACCCAAAAGGTAATGCCATAGGTCCTTATATGAAATTGGAGCCTGCTTAGAGACAGAAATCTTTCTGATGATTTATTTAACACTAGATCCACCAGTGCTAGCTGTGTAGATGTGCATACAGCAACTGCCCTTAAAGGCAGGGATAAAAGAAATACCCTCAGTCACACATCAGGCCACTATTTTTTCTTTTTAATGTCAAGTAGAATTACATCACAGAAACCACTTAGGTGACACAAAAAACACGTGGCAGATACAAGAACTGTATAGACTGTCTTGAACTCATTTTCTTTAAAAAAGCAAAGCTGTTTCTTGTAAACAAAATACTAATCTGCTCTTAAAACAAACAAATCAACCAACAAAAAAACACTATTAGCAGAAAAGGCCTAGATACCTATCTCCAAAGCACAGATAATAGATGATAATGTTAGTCAGTTGACAAATAGTGAAGTAACTTAGACTAGGATCTCATAAATTAACAAAAACCAGAGATGACAGAAACAACACATCAGTAGTCTCAAAATTTTCTGACTGCTTGAAAGAGACCAAATGATTCTTCCTATTGTTTATGAAGTCTTTTCTCTACATTCTTTACTTTCTAGGAAATAATTTCTATTATTTCTATTATTTCTATTATGCATGCTTACTAAGCACATATCCCTACCTAATCAGCTCAGAAGGGGAATTAATTTTGCATACTGAAATCCTACTCATACCTGCTGCAATGCGGAGATGTCAAGCACACCAATATTTTGAATTCCTTGAAGGAACACTGGAAGCTTTTCCATGACATGGTGGACCTTATTGAGAAGTGAACTGATACTAGAAACCACATCCAGTAGCATATTTAAGATATTGCCAATCTCAGGTGGTATCTGAACCTTGGAAAAGAAGAAGAAAAAAAAAAAAAAAAAACCAACAAAAAATTCCATTTAGAAACAAATGTTAACCTTTTAGTGAAACACTCAAAACTATTCAGTCTTTTTCTAAAACTGATTACACAATGTTCCTACAAACCATGTTCAGCAAAACTCCTTTTAATATAGTTCCCCAGTTACTCTCAGATTAAGCTCAAGAGAAGTTCTCTGTAATGTAATGTTAGACCTGACTTACGAAAAATCTTTAATATTCAGAGAACATGTTTACACCTACCAAGTTGAAGAGAGCTTTCCAACCCAAGATGCTAATGGAATCTGCAACAATCTATCCTTTTAAAATTCAGTGTAAATGGAAACTTTCTTTCACCACTTTAAAAACATTTAATGCAATAACTTCATATTTTAAAAATAATTTATAAGTTAAATTAAAGCTAGAAACTACTTATATTGTTTATTATGACTCCTAAAGTAACTAACTTTCCTGCCACATTCTTCCTGCCTTTGAATTTTTCATGCCCAAAATAATTGTGTGCATTTTATTACCTACGTGACCTAAGTTCAATTGGCTGTTTGCTACTTCCACCATGCAAATTTGTCATTAGGGATTTTCCCTCTATTCCCTTTGCTTTTGGGGATTAGCTAGATGATACAATAATACAAACTGATTCATTGTTACCTGTCTATGCAAAATAATAAAACCACTATAATCTCATTATATAGTTTCAGTTCTTCCTCTTATTAGCTATTTTATTCACCTTTGTTTTCCTACTTTAATGTCTGTGCTTGATTTTCTTCTCAGCTTTACCACTTTACCAGCTATTACATAGTAAAAATAAAAAAAAAATTAAAGACACCCATAGAAAAAAATCTTATTTGGTTAAAAAAGTAGCAGAATTTCTGTTATAATTTAGGATGAGCTGACAACATTTTTCACTCTTTGCTAGGACTTGATTAGGTTTCTGTTGAGTTCAGCAGAAACGCTCATCAGAATAAGCACTGGTTTATTTTCTTCTTTTTTTTTTTCCCTTCTAAGTTTGCAGATAATTCAGAAAGTAAAACATTTTCTTTTTCATCTGGTATCTTTACCTGTTGTGGGAAATTGTCGTGTTTTTAAAATCCTATGTCTAACCTGCTTACCTGAGCATGCAGCATCCAGAATACAATCAGACCCCTATGGCTTTAGAAGAAACCATTCTTCCTCACATATAAGTCATAAGTATGTTTCAGTTATTCATGCTTAAATTTTGTGTTCCGTCAATCATTTACCCCCAAAAGAACTAAACTATCCCATCTAATAATTATATTCTAACTAGCCCATTCAATAATTCTGCTCTTACAGATAAAACCATTATCTCACTGAATACCCATACTAGATTCCAGACTATCTACAGTTTTACAGATAATACAGTTGTGCTACAGACATTTGCCATCCACCATGCTAAGAATTCTTGCTAGAAAATAATTTTTTATCTTTCTTGTAATGTGAGCTCCTATGCTGGTTTTAGTGCAAGTGTTGTCAGATCAGTCTTCTACTCTTAAAAATAATGAAGTGACTAATTGCATGAACTGCAAACTCTGCTAAGGATTAATAAAATTATGTTTGACCTCCTATGTTTTCTGCAAAGCTTTCATCATTAACTCCTCAGTGATAATTTTCCTGAGGAAGCATCTATCAGCCCCATTCTTCAACCATTATATTTTGGGAAGCCAAGCAAATACAAAAAATGCCATATGTCCACTGTTCGCTTTCACGGAGAAAGAACACCTGAAGAAATAATAGAATTATTAATCTATATACGTGTGTGTTTCATACCACCTTCAAATAAAACCATCGTACCTTGTAAATGATGTGACGTACATTGAAATTTTGTATAATCAATACAAACATGGTATAAAAGTCCAGTGCTGGTAAAGAACATAATTCTTCCACTACCAGGGAAGTTCTATTGTTTTCAGGCAGCTTTAGCACCAGGCTAAGTACTTCTTCATCACATCTTCCAGTTAAAGCTACTGCAAAGGCACTGTAAAGAACCTACCACAACATAACAACATATCGGTATTAAAAATTTTTCTAACTGAAATGCGTCACGTTTTTTTACTGTCAATAAGGTGAAAATTTGTGTCACAGTAACATGACAATTTGCAGGCACCAACAGACCTGAAATAATAAACCATAAAGCTTTATATGAGATTGCTATGTTCTTACTTTATACTTCTTGTATAAAGAAGTAAAAAAATGAAGTATATTTCTTATAAGGATTTGATTTTATTTTTCACAAGTCAATCATTCATTCTTGAGTATTCATACCATAAGCAGGCATATTTACAATGCTGAGCATACTCCTTCTAGCAGATGTACACCTCTGCTGTAGAAACACCTGAAGATCAAAATCTAGCATGTGAATCATTAACATCAAACAATATGGTCCTTCCTGTCACTGTCGGACACAAAATGATTCACACAGACACAGCTCGAAGTGTGATGTGATGAAAGAAGAAGAACGTTTATTCTGTCCTTTCAGTATTTACAGATTTTCGACAACAACCAGGGATTGGATAGTCAGGTTACCACCTTCCCAACCACACTGGCCATGACAGACATCCATCAAAAAGCATATCTTTAATGGAATGTATAAACATCTGACTTGAACCCCCAAGGTGTTTCAGCTAGCTCAGTGATCACTCTGGCTCCGAGCCAGCAGAGTATTTGGGCTCACTGATCCACTTTTGGAATTCAAGTCTCTCGAACGAGTAAAGAAACAAGGGGGGGGACCCCTGGGTTATGTTCCACGGTTTATTTCTGTGAAGGGAACCTCAGAGAGCAAGACGAAGGGTCTGGGGTCTGGGAGTTGCTTTTAACAGGGTTTCTTCGGAGGATGGGAACATCAGAGAGACCCAGCTGTTTTTCCCAGATAGCACATTTACAAACTTTCTACAAATCAAGGTTAAGCACACTAAGATAAGAAATAACAGACACAGACTTCTTCAAATGCCCACAGAGGTGCAGGAGTGAGCTCCCAGAGGAGGCAGAGGGGGGACATGGTATGCAGAGGGAGCTTGATAATGTAGGAGGGAAAGAAAAGGGGGGAAAATTACCCACCGGGCTTCTTTAGCTGGGACACAGGAACCGGAAAGTACAAGGAAACTCAGAGGCAGTCTGGGGTCGGCGGGAGCAAAGCTGCAAGCTCCCGCACCGGAGAGCGGGCTTCTGCCGCTACTATCCCCGCGCTTTCCCGGGCTAAAGAAACTCCAAGCAGCTGGAAATACCAGCGGAGTTTTTTCTCCACTCCCTCGGGCTTCCTGCTGCTTCCCGCTGCGGGGCCGAGTGGGAGGGGAGCGTCAGCCCGACCCTCCACGGTGGCAAGGATACAAACAGAAGGGTCTGAGGAAGAAAACTTAGGTAACCATGGTTACTTGCCTCTCGGCAAGAAGCCGGGAGAAAAGGGGAGGGAAAAAAGCCGCGACTTGGAGAGGGGGAAGGGTACATTCCAAGCTATCAACTACTAACATAAAATAACTTAATAATATTCTAACATCCCTTACTGTAACAAACATCTATATTTATAGTTACTTCCCTGGGAAAGTGGCTAGAAATTATGAAAACAGTATCAAAAGGTCTGATTCTCAGGAGACACCTTCCTTCTTTCAAAGGACACACAAGTTTAACACTTGGGGATGCCTCTACGACACAACATCTAATGTGAGCCAGCTCACACTTCTCAGTTAAACAGTGCTTTAAAGTATTATTTAATAGTAGATGAAGGGACAAATGCCTAAAGCAGACCTTGGGTGAGACTATAATAAAACCATCTTGGATAATGGCAAGTGCTTGAAGTCCAGATATCTCAGGACTTCTTAGCTACCCATTCTCAACAAGTCCAGAAAAATTACAAGTTTTTTAGGAGCCTGTAGAAGTCAAAGTACAGGGCTCCATTGTACTTCTTAGGACAGAATCCACCTCTGCCACCTCCACTGAATGTATCTCTTGCTGCTGACAGTACCTAGTCAGGGAGAAGATCTGCAAGACAGTCAAGATATGCAATTTAACACTAACTCCTATGAACATTTTATTTTCCAACTTAGTAATTCGATTTTTTGGTTTTCATTCTGGAACAGAATTTTGCCTTTGTGATTCTATAAGGTTTTCTATATATTTAAAGATTCACTTTTCTGTGTGTGCATTCAATGAACATAATTCTATGAGCAGCATAAGATGATACAGATTTTGACTTCTTGCTGGAGGGGAAATTTGACTGTGATGCAATTTGAAATTTATTTGAAATGTGCCTCACATGAATATCACCATTTCAGTGCAGTTTTAACACATTTTTTGTTTTATCCCCTAGGTTAAGGTACTCTGAACTTTCCTTGCAGCTTTCTGAGTATCAGAGCTAATCCAAACTCCTACATTCAGTAAATTTATGCTTATAGTCTTCAGGTAACAGGATTTAAGTGATTTCAGATCACTCCATCACATGGCAATGAGCATGGCCAGCATGTAACATCGTGGCAGAAATTATGGGTAAGTATAATAAGCACAAAAAATTCCTGGGCTTAGTCTTACTGTTCCAGAGACAAGCACAGTAGTAATATATAATCACAGAAATATAGGGCTACAATGGGCCTATAGCTATCATCAGGTTATCAGACAGTGGCTGTATAGACAATAAACATAATAGGTATACTTAAAATATAGCTCTAAAAAGTACTTGTGCAGCTTTCCTAATCCTAATTTCCTAATAAGAGACCCAGGCTTTTAATGCTCCAGTTGGACTGGGGAAGGATTTAAGCACTAAGCAAACAAAAAATTCTGTATAGTTATCCAAATGCAAGATGTGTGTATATGTTTAAACTCTACATATGACTGGCAAAAAGTAAGGATGGAAAGTAATCTGACAATTCAGCCACTTAGCATTATTATTCCAAGGGAGCAAAGGTGTACTGAATCCCATTTAACTGAATTGCTTTCAGATGACTTATCTCATTACCATTTAGTGGTATCACAATAGCAAGCTAACAATAAAGGCAATCACACCGCCACAGAAGCAGAACAAACCATCTATAAGCAGTTACGATTGTCTGAACTGCCTTTTTAATATTGCACCGTACACGAATAGAGCTTGCAATGGTTTCTGAAAGTGGAACATCACTGCCACCCAGTGGCTGCTTGACTGAACTGATCAATTTACACCAAATTTACCCTCAGCTCTTAAACAGACACTTGCAGCAGAGAGAACCTATTAGTCATCACTGAGGTCACAGTCGAAAGCAACGGTAGGACACAACCTTTCCTTCAGAAAACTTAAAATACTCAAGAGTCAACAGCTCAAAGTGAAAGTAAAGCAAGACAGTAATGCAAGACAGATAATGCAAGAACAGTGAGGAGCACACAAAAGAATTTAAAAAATATATACATAAGACAACTCCATGCTGCAAGAAGGGGAGATGGTAAGGTACAAAATTATATCTCCAGAAACCCACATCTTTTCTACAATACCAAGACAGCAAAGCTCAAATTCTGTGTCATTACAAGAGGGTAATACACTGCTGAAAGTAATGAAGCAGTGCCATTTAGATCAGAGGAACAGTGCTACTATAAAACTGGTCTCTTAATGCATCACATTATTACTTTGAAGTCCTAAAATTCCCGGAGTATTTCACATGGAAGTGATAAGTGAAATTATAAGATTCCACACAAACAACATGGCTTGTTTTGTTTCAGCTGGCATACCATGTTATAGGTTGACCCACTAATTTGACACCTCTTTTACCTCTGAGTAAGAGACACTGACTTCTAAGAGGGTATTGACAATTTCTTCAGAAATATTGACAGAAGAACCAATGTCCAGCCTTAACTGAGTGATATTCTGCACAAAATCTTTGATTTTCACATCTGGAAGAGGAAAAAATAGTACCGACATCATCAAATTGATTAATTAGACTTCCTACAGATTGTATCCCTTTCATTCAATTCACTGTGAGTGACAATATTGGCTTACGTCAATAGTCTCCATAAACAGTGTCCCTTTGAATTTGTAAGAACAAAGAAACAGTTATTGTCCTACAAAATTACACTAGAGTGACTTATAGAAAAAATGCAGAAAACTGGAACCCACCATTCACAAGATTAAAATTGCTGAAGAAAGCTACTGCTGGATTTTCCAACAATTGTAACTCCAGATTTTCAGTCACCCTGGAATAATAGCCTTAGTTTCACAAGTTATCAGAACCAAGTCATTGGCATTTTAATGTATAAAGACTAACATTAATAGCGAAACAGAACTAAAAGAGAAAATAGGGTCCCATTATGCTCTGTGTGCGCACACTATGCATGCAGCCAGCACATCTACAGACCTCATCTGGTATTTATATGGTATAATGGTCATCATATTTAATGCTGAAATGTGACTATATATGTAGAGATACACAGGTATATCTCTACATATATATATGTACATAGAGATAGATTCCCATAATGACTAAGGGCCCTAGTAAACAGTAGGCTAACAGTAGCAAACTCATAGCTTACAGAGAAGGACAGGTCTAGCAATATCTCACTTCTATGTTTCTTACTGAAGGCACATTTTTAAAACCTAGAGATAGAAATGGCTGCAGTTTAGGAGGAAAAAAAAGTCTATCTAATTATAATTTAAGTCATAAAAAGTATGCACACATTAGATATGATTTTCTCTTCAAAACTGGACATGAGCCCATGGTATTTAGGAGCAGCATCTAGGCTCTAGTTCTTCTGTATTATTACTGTAATTCAGAGACACCATTCAAGCCTGTTATGAAAACAATCCAACAGTCAAACCACCATAGAAACAATTACAACGTCTACTTCTAGCTGATTGCAAATTTGAAATACTGTGTAGTAGCAGCTTTACTTAAAATTTAATCGTTTTCCCCATGCAAATAACAACTATCAGAAAGTTGTTTTGAGTTCAATCCCATCAGTTTATAATCACTGTACTGTGTTTCTAATTCTTTAAACAGCTGAACTGATCTGATTGCTTAATATTTCACAAAAAGATATTCAGCTATTGAGAGAAAAAGCCATATTAAACGAGCTATAAATAAAAAATTTAGATATCAAAATTTTGACCTAACTGAAGTCACAGGAAATTGAAAATTTTCTTAGTTGTGATCCAAAGCATTCAGCTGGTGGAGCAGCAAAAAATATCAGCTGCAAGTGCTTGGCAAAAAATATAAAGGTTTTTAGAAATATTCAGTTATTCTAAATTACTTCAAAAATTTGTACATTTTATCCACTCAGTTTTAAGTTAAATGAACAAAGCTTAAAAAGACAGTATTTCTCCTATAATTACTTAATTTAGACCACAGACATATGCAGAGAATAACATCACCAATGATGAAGAACCATTTGGGGTACCAAAATGTGAAAGGTTTTACATTTGCAGTTGTCTCTGAATGTTCCCCATCATTAGCTGGCATTGACAGTTGTTAGTGCTGGTATTCTGCAAGGCTCCCATGAGGCTCTCCAAAACATTGGAAAGTTTTTGGTTTATATGTGCCATATTCTCACAATCCCCCTTGTTGAAAGCAGGCAAGTATCTTCTAACATCCTGAAGAACACAGTGATCACATGGTTAGTAAATTCATGAGATTGTGTTTGAAGTAGCAGCCCTTAGCAACTAGATGATTCTTATTTTCAAATGAGAATATGGGTAAGGTAATATTCTCTTAGTCATTGTATGATTAACTGAAGCCAGATTAAATGTTTTCAAGAACCAAGGAATTTTCAATTATTTGAGTTTTGGAAACAATCAGATTGGGAACTAAGACTAGCCTGTCAAGGAGAGTCATCCATTAATAAAAATGCCAACTTTTTAAAATTCGTTTCAAACCTGAAATGAACTATTCTTTTTCATTTTGTCTTTTTTATTTCAGTCTGACCGTTTTTATATTTTTTTAAAAAAATTGTTTTGAACATCCATTTCCATTCAACAAAACAAAATATCTGGATCCCCAAATCCAAAGTTTTTCATGCATTATGCTTTGTATAGCATGCGCTTTTCTATTTTCTCCTGAATACTTATAATTTTGATTTTGCCAAGCTTTTTTTAATATTTTCAGAATTAGGTCAGAGAAGGGTGGTGACTACACAAATGCATTTGGCCTACAGAAATCTGCTTTGAGATATGAGTGATGACACTTGTCATTGTTTACTTTATTACATGCTGTTCAGATCAGACAAATGTCCAGATAGACAAAGCTGCAGAGCTATTTAACAAAGAGAAGACAAATTCTATGCTAAAAAGTATGACCTTAGTATTTTGTCTGTGTACACATACATGTGCTATCCAAAGGCCTGCTTCCAATTCTGGGTGAGTCTCTATATGCCAAATATTACTCTCACCTGCTGGCAATTTCATGTTAAAGAAAAACAGACTGAACCCAACTGGTAATCATAACTGCTATTTTAGCCGGAATTATTCTAGCCAAGAAGCTTATTTTTTTCCAGTTTAATTTCACAAATGTTCCTGTGAAGGTTTAAAAGTAAAATAATATATAATAATATATTAATTTATATTATAAATAATAATATAAAAGTAAAATAATATATAAAATAATGTAAATGTATAAATTAAATGTACAATATAAATGTATTATAACTCATTAAATTAGCAGAATGACAGAATTTAAAGAAATTAAAAATGGGCTGCTGTTTGACATTGATTGACAATCCAGTTATCCTAGTTATAGGACTTCTAATAATTCAGAGTCATACTTACAGCTTGTAAAGCTCACCAGTCTTTATTTAAGGAATATCTTTGGGGTATCTCTGTCAAAATTATCAGAGCTATAGCTATTTAAACCTCAGGTTTCTACAGCCACTGTGGGGACTTTCATTCCGACAGTGGGAAAAAACGGAAATTTTCATTAGTTTCCAAAGTTTAATGCATGTTGTAAAGTACACTTGTAGGTGAGGGTGTCACTAAAGGAGTCAAACTGATTCACACGAATGCCTCTCAGTGTTAGAACAGGAAAGAAGAAGCTTTATTCTCTGACTCCAGTATTTATAGATTCTCGACAATGACCAGGGACTGGATAATTAAGTTACCACCTTTCCAGTCACACTGGTCATGCAAAATGTCCATGAAAAGACGTTTCTTAGAAGGAACATAAACAACCTACGTTTATAGAACTTTCATGGGAAAGTAACTAAAACTATGAAAACATTATCAGAAGGCTTTAGTTTTCAGAGCAACAGTGAGGGAATCATTCCGACCTGGAAATGATCTTGAACCACGGCAATCCCTTCAAAGACAGCAAGGAGCAAGTGACTCATTAATCCATCTTTACACTTTTTAATGGCACAGAAAATGTTGCTAAAGACAATGGGTTCTTCTGTAAGAGAAAATGTCAAGACTTAATCAGTTAAAAAAACCCAAGAACTTGAAAACTAATTAAAGGTTAGCCAACTAATAAGGGAGACAAAAATTTTTAAAAGCAAGAAACATCTGATGTGTTAAGCCACAGAGAAATATTTCTAACTAAATTCATGTATCATTTCAGAGGACAAGGCAGGCTGGTTTGATTCAATTTCAGTACTCTTCTCCATTACATTTTCCTGATCAATAATAAGAACATCCCTACCTGCTACAGAACCAGAGTAGAAAATTTCATATTTGCTCTTCAAGAGCAAGAAGCATAACTGTGAGAAGCTGAGTATATTAACCACATCTACCTTTTCCTTGGGCAGGCTCCCCTGATGGTATTTCCCTATGGGAATACCTGGGTGTTACTAACCCTTCGGTGAGCAGTAACTTTCAAACCTAGGGGAGTGAAACAGCATTACATAAGATTTCCCATATTTTAGGACAATCAACCCATATAGGGTGATAGTCATCCATGGAGGCCATTTCTACTCAAGTCTGCAGCTTGCACCACATCCTTGGAAAAAGCCTCTGTTTTGCTGGCTGCAGTGGATTTGTACATGGAATAGTAGTGAAAGAATTTGACTTGACTGCTGAATTCTCATTCAATTTTTTCAAATATGTTTCTTTTTTTTTTTCCTTAAGTTTGGTTCTTAAGTAAATAGGGAGAATAATAAACATGAAACACTGCTTCTAAAACAAGCAAACCTTGATCTTGCTCATAGAAGTAATGCAATACAATTCCTCAAATCAAACCAAATCAAGCAGTTTTCATCTTTTCTCATTAAGTTTCACAATGTTTTTTGTAACTAATGAAACATTCCCACAAACAGAGGATTGAAATAAGCATGGCTTACTCCTTGGAACTACATCCATCACAGGGGAGTGGAGAAGACAGTCAAAATTGGGTTGTAATCACATCTTATACTCTTGGAAATTCATTTGACATAAGATATTCCAGTTCTCATCCCTTGCTCTAGAAGGGCAGGTTAATGCCTCATAATTGCTCTTTGCAAACAATTCTGGGCATAGTTGGCTAAAGTATGAGCTTTGAAAAGCACTGGCTTTTGTTATCCAAAGAAAATATAACATGAAATTATACTCAGGTCAAAATAGAGCCTTTCTTGAAGTACACAACTTGGGAGCATATACATAAGGAATAAAACAAGGTAACACATTAAAATTTGAACAATTTGTTCAAATAGTGAAAGAGAAGTAAAAGAGAAAATAGGGTCCCATTATGCTTCTGTGTGCACACACTGTGCATGCAGTCAGCATTTCTACAGACCTTCACCTGAAGGTGAAGTTTTCAGCTACAGGTAGCAAATTCACTGGTGTGACATGGCCAGAAATGGAAGATGCTTCTTCCTTTAAATACTTGACCAATTTTTCCTTACTGTCAACTACACACTGCCCTGTGGCAAGTCTGGCTCATTAAAAAAAATGATCCTGTGACTTGACTCATCTCACTAGCTGAGAAGGAGCAGTAAGATCTCCTGCTTTCACTGGGATTTTAAATCTACATGAACACTCCAGAAAGAAATCATTCCTTTGTATGATCTGCAATCAGATTTTCTTCCTGTGCCTCTGTTGGTTTAATTTCTAGACATCAGTATGCTTGCCTTGCTTGGCATCACCCAAATTACCTTATTTGTACAAAAGTTTGATCAGAGTAAAGCCTTAACCTAACAGCAGTAATACATAGGGACTCTGAGTCACTACTGTGGTAACCAACCTGAAAAGATCTTGAGAATATTCAAAATGGCAAATTGCAATTCCTGCAATAATATGATGCTATCTGGGTATAAACTTTCCTGAAGAATATTGCAGATTTTAGATACTCTGTAGAAACATCAATAAGAAAACATTATTTTCATTCCAAGGGTACCACAGAAAAATTTCAAGAACTGACAATGCACAAATGCAGTCTTCAATGAACCACACAAGGATTTCAATATTAATAGTTGTTACATTTGTTTGAACTATTTAAAAAACAGAATATAATACTTCCCTGTTAATATACCCCAGGAGCACTAGAAAATATCTTCACAAAATAAGCAAAATTGTAATAGGTTCAGAAATACTGAGAGCCCAAAATATGTTGACTTGATGGTAAAAAGCAGATAATCAGCATGTAGGAGAAAATAAACCACTTTTCTAGTACTTGCTTTTGGTATTTTTCAACAGATTAGGTTAATACTTAACCCTGATGGACAATGATTTTATGTATTTGCATGAAATTAATCACGAAGGTCAAAATACCACATCAGAGCACCAACTTTACAATGCCATATCTCAGCTGGTTTATGTCAGTGGACCAGTAGCACCACCAGCAAGATACCGTAGAGCTGTTTGGAGCAACTAATTGTGGGCTCATTCAATATTGTTTAAATGCAGCAACTCCAGTCCAGCAGCCTTTTTATTAAGTAAACAATCAGTAACTCTGAAGCAGTTTCCTCTGCTTCTGGATTACGTCTGATCTGAATAATCAGGCAGAAGTGACCATGGGCTCAAGATTTCTTCAGACAGTGCATTTGTTAAATTGAACAACTTAATAACCAGAAGACATCAACAAATTTAAGTTAAAGGAAATTTGTATAGCTATATTTGGATATAGAAAAAAACCTCCATGCATACCACAAAGAATTAGGCCCAAGAATTCCTCAACATTTAGCTCTGTAGGCAAAAATGACTGTTGCCTGCCAATTAGTGGGGGTTCAGTATTCAGATTTGCAAGGATTTTAAAATACAAGTACATTCAAAATAATTGTTTCTAGAATAGTTCCAAAGAAACCAGTTCAAGTGTCAATACATATGACTAAACACATATAGTAGAAATAAACTAAACACAATAATTTGTTCCACACAATGTGTTCTGATACCAAATATGGCTGGTCTGAACAACATAAGTTGGAACAAATCTGAAATGAAACACAAATTAACTTAATAAAAGTTTTGATAGAGTTGGTCATAAACAGAGAGCCTTTCTGTCATTGTCAGCACACTTCCCAAACACTCACCTTAGTTTTGCCATTACATCCTTATGCAAATTCATTAATAAGAGTTTTATTTTATTCCTGTCACGTTCTGCAGTAGACTGAAATATTATTCGCAAAATCTCTTGTATGATCTCCAGAGTTCTGCTTTGAGACTGAGTAGAAGTGTCTCTATATGGTACATTATAAAAAAATGAATCAATGAAGTCAACTTTATGAAGCTTAGTATTGTTTGTACGCATAGCTTCTTCTTCAAGATCAATATCAGCAATTATATGAAGGAGGCTGTTTGGCAAAACTGAAAAAGCAGCATGAGTATTATTCAATTTTACTCTGCTAAAATGACTATCACCAAACAACATACCAGTGTAGTCCTTCTTAGACTTATTTTGGAATAGCTCCAGAAAGGCAATAACATCTTTGACAGCCAGCAGTAGGTCATTTGATGAACTTTCATTAGTCATAAGGAGAATTAGAGTATGCATTATTTTAGAATAATTTTTATTGTTACAGTCACATAGAATGCTCTTCACAATGTCTTGTATATCTTCAAAATTTCTTGATATAGCATCTACAGATGATGTCTTAAACTGCTCTAGTAAAACTTCAGAAGCCACTGAAGAGGACTGTCCAGTGGCAAACTTTAGTAATTGAAACTCTTGATCTATCACCACAAGTAAGTGTCTAACACTAAAATTCACCAATAAATTTTCTTTGCTTGCAACTACAGGAAACCATAAATTCTCAAAGTTGTTAGCTATATTGACACTCCCACTTAAAGCTGATATTGTCATAAGCATTGAGTGTGTCTGGTTTCCAATAGAGGACAGTGTCATTAAAGGCTGAATTACAGAAAGAAAAGAAAGGACAGCTTCAGTATTCAGGAGTCTAGAAACTTCACTGGTCATATCCTTCACATTAGTAAAAACACTCTCAAATGATGTTCTTGACTCTCTGTTCCAAGTTAGGCCACCATAAAGATTATCCAGCTGTTCAAGAAGACTTTTGGCCATCTCCACGTCTGATGCCAAAATGCTGTCCAGAGTTTCAATGATTTGTAAAGCCATTCGGCTCTTAGGTGTGGAGGAACAATTGATTGCATGCGTATTATTCATCTGCAGTGGCACAGCATAAAGGGATAGCTTATTCCAAAAATCTAGCAGCTCTTTGAGAACTGAGCTATTTGTATGATGGAGCTCAGAAAACTTCAAAATTATAGAGTTCCATTCTTTGATCTGATGAAAAAAGCAAGTCAGATTGTGAGTGATATCCATCTGAATGTCCTCCATAAAGCAAGCAAAACTGTCATCCAGAGTGATGAGTTTAAGCTCCTTAATGATTTGAATGACTGCATTATAGTGAAGAGTAGAATTGGTGTGCACAAAGTCACAAGGTTTAACAGTGGGATCATTCTGAGGTGTTGCTGTTGTCAGAGTCCAGCAGAATGCTGCAGGAAAACAAACGGAGGCCTCTCCAGATTCATCAGAGATGTCTGCCAATGTCTCCAGCAATGTTAGAAGACTATCTACTTGGGTTGAGAACTCCTCATCAGTAAACAGAGGCATTTTTTCTTCCTGAGTCACTATGAAAGCATATATTTCAGTTAGTGCTTCTGTAACGTTTCCATGAGCCAATCTTTCTGTAAGGCTGATGACATCAAAGAGGATGTTGAACACGTCTTCAGTATTGTAGAGCTCATCTTGTTCAAAAAGCTGTGTTATTTGGTGTACAGCAGTCAGGTTCCAGTAACATGATACGTTCTCAAGTACATCCCACCAGTCTATTAAAGTACCTAACTCAGAGTTCGCAAGAGAAAAATGTTTTATATTTTTAAATAAATTTTCTAGGTTCTCCTGGACCTGTTTGAATCTACTTATCAAAAACTCAACATCCATTTTTCTCACATTTTGCACCAAGGCAACCATATGCTTTAGAAACTCCTTTTCATCTCTTAATGGAAAGACAGTAAAAGTTGGAGTCTTGAAAATTTCAAGTGCCTTCCTTACCAGTTCAATAGTCAGACCTGCTGTTTCTATCAGTTTCTGAGGAAATGTTTTGTGTTCATTCTGCAAGTTTGAGTCAAGTTTTCTAATCATATATTGAAAGAACTCCATCAGCAAACTGATATTTTTCCCATGCAAGAAAGGTTCAATCTCCTTGTCCAAATGAGAGGAGCTGTTTTCTTGGACTTCAAAAATTTCATTTTTCAGAAGACTTTGAATTTCTAACAAAAGTTCCACTGATATAAGATTAATGTGGTGAAAATGATTAAGGAGCATTCTTGAAGTCCTGTTAAAACCACGGGTTGACTGACTAAAATGGGTCTTACTTGACATATACAATGAGCTCCCAAACAAATCACTGACAATAGTTTGTATTTGCTCTCCAGAATTATTTAAAAGTCTAAAAATAAGTTCAAGCACATTAATGACATCTTTCACATAAAATTCAGGGAGAATAAATTTCAAAGTTTTTGCTATGATATTGAAATAAACACACAAATCACATCAGAACCACCTAGGGAACATTCAGGGAGTATCAAATTAAAAACAAATTTAACAAAGTCCATCACATTCATTAGCTTAGCATCTGTCTCAGCATTTCCCAGAGATTGCAGAAGAATTAAAATATGTTTTGCACTTTCAAGGTGGGAAGGTGACTTGTATTTTTCAATGAGATTACTTAATCCATGTATCCATGTGTTACAATCCTCTGCTTCATCCATTGTACTGTGAAAGTTTAGAAAGAAGTTAAGATGAGATGAAAAATTTGTTTGCAAGTAGCCTACGTCTTTCAGAGTATTATCCAAAATTAGTTTGGTAATATTCTGGAAAATGCTGATACAAACCACATATTTGTCCTGAAGTACACTTTTTAAAAAAGCAGACATATCATTTATCTCAGTGACCATAATTTCAAGTTCCTTTTGGGAGAGCTTAAGAACAGTAGAAAGGGAATTTCCAATGGACAATACACCAACACCCTTATCTTCTCCTTCAGAACCTCCTGAAATGAAAGCATCGAGCCATAAATTCAAAAACTCTTCATTAACAATCTTCAGTATGGATTTCTGCATTTTAGTTATTGCAACTCCCATTGTCTCTAAAACACATTCTAAACTCCTATCTTTAAGCAAGTTTGTGACATCAAATGCATTGTTAATTACCCTTTGAAGATTAGCAAGGAAAGCCTCGAAATCTTTCAAGTCATTTAAATTGCCATGTTCCTGAAATAGAGATTTTAATAGCTTCATTGCTGTTCCTGTAGCTTCAACAATAGCCATAGCTGTATTATTGCACAGTTCATCTCGAGTTATGTTTAAAATGTTTTCAGAGAGATATGTCAAATCATCTCTTAGGCAGGCAAAGCAGGTTGAATTCAAATTTAAGATTTCTGATGCTTCTTCAAAAATCTCTGTCCATGTTTGAAGCCATGTAAAAGTGCAGTGCAAAGCAGAAGGCACACTTACCTTATCTCCCCAGTTTATTACATTAGACAGGACACTGTTCAATGGAAGCAGAAATAAGTTATAAATCTCTGCTGAATGTTGTACAGAACTCATATTTTCTAGATAAAAATCAGCACACACATTATTTTCCAGGCATTCTGGAGACAGATCAAAAAACTCATCCAAATAACATAAGGCAGCTGTTTGGAGCTCTTCTATAAATAAAGTTTTAAGGCTGCTTAGAGTGTCATAAACAACTTGTATATCTTTTTTTCCATTCTGTACAAGAAACTCTGCCTGAAACACTGTGTAGTTGTAAATTAATAGTAACTTTTCACAGAGGGACTTACTGGTGAGGTTCCAGAGAAGACTGAAAGTTTCAAAAAGAAAGTCAAAAACTATTTCCTTATTTTGCAAATCATGCCATACTTGAGAAGATGACATACTTTTTGAAGTCTCATAAAGAAGTTTTAACAGAGTGTTATTGCTCTTAATATTTAAAATCAGATCATAATTCTGGTACAGAGAGAAAATGTTTGGTACAAATGAGGCCACACTAGTATCATTTAAATTTTGGATATTTCTGAGGAAATCATGCACAATTTCTCCTAATTCTTGCACCTTATACATAAAAGTTGCATTTGAGAGAAATAAAGAGGTATTACTCACTCCAGGAATTGTGCTAAATGACACATTGACATGATCACCAGACAATGACCTAACTTCATAGAGATTTATTTGGAAGTGTCCACTTAAATGCTTTAAGTGGTCCAAAGCAGTAATATTTAACTCTGGCCAATCGGTCGGGGTATTTTTGAGCAACGCCATACTTCTATTATAGATTTTATTTTCTGTAATAGAAGATAAAATTCTACATAAGGTCTCAATTACCTCTTCCTCTTCAACTTGACTCAGCAAAGAAACCCTAGAATCAAGTTCATGGAATACAATTTCCACTGTATGCCAGAAAAGTTCTGTCCCCTTTTTTGTCCAGAAACTCTGAAGAGGCTGGAAATCTTTTTGTAGCTCATTATAAAGTTCAGAAACTGCAAGTGAGAAATTGGTGGCAGATTCCTCCTCCTCAGCAAATTTTTTTATCCACATAATTGCATTATTCAAGGCATTTTCAATTAGAGACTTGTTTTTAGAAAATGAGAAATCAAACATAATTTTTTCTATGACTTCTACAAGATGAAAGAGGTGATCCCTTTTCACCAGAAATCCTTAAGTTTTCTTCTGTTTTCAAAAACTCTTTGAAAGATGTCAAAATCCTGAAAAATTAACAGCAAATTTTTTTATTGTTAGTTACCTAGCAGGCAGACAAGAATGTTTTTAACTACATATTATTTAATATTAGAATCTAGGTTTATTTACTTAATTCAAGACAATTCCAAATATAATTTAAGTAGCACTCACAAATTAATCACTACAAAATCTGAATTAGCAAAACTTGACAATTGCACTGGTTTTCAAAAAATGTGAAAAAACCCTACTGGAAAGTCACAACCTCATTCAAATCAAAACCTGAATGTAGACAGCAGTTAAAGAATTGTGCATTTATCAGGACTTATAATCAAGCTTGTAAGCCACAAAGAGTCCAACACCTTTGAGTACACCCCATTTTCATCTGCTGAAAAGAACAAAGCTTTTATATTTTACAGACAGGAATGTACCAACTGACTGCCTGATAGCTGAACACTGCTATTTTAGTATCAACAAAAACATGAAATCACTGTGAAAATTGGAATGCACCAACTGATCTTTCTATTGTGTCAGTATTATTTATCAAAAGAAAAAACAATTACTGTCTCTAAGATTAGTCAAGAGGAGGTGCATGGAAAAAAGAACCTTTGAATGTAAAGGCCTCAAGTTGAAAATATTTTCTCCTTAAATATATTTTCTTTCTCTCCAGACTGCAATCACCAGAGTTAGAGCACAGAAACATTGTGTACTGCAAGTAAAAGGGTAAAACTGCTAAAAAAAACCTTTGCTGTTGCTTACAACTGCAGCAGCACAGCAGTCTCCTTTTATAATTTAGAACCAAATTTCAAAACCCCCTACTAAATTTTTGAAAAACTTGACTGCAATCTCTCTTACTAGTTGGTAGCTGATTATTTCTTTCAGATTTATCCTCAGATGTTGATTTGTATAGCATGAATCATATCTCCTCCAGTTACAGTGTTTGTTATGAACAAGTAATTAGAAGCAGTGAGAAACCGAGGCCAATATTATAACTCCAGGAAGCAATGCAAGTTATCCAGTGTGTAGTTAGAAAGAGGAAAGTATCAGTTCCTGTGCTCTGCCATAGACCTTTCTTGAGGCTCTGCCAACTCTAACAGACATTAACTCTCTTTATGTACAACTCCTCTGTAGAACCTGTCAGATGAGGAAGATTCAAACAGCTTGGCAAAACATATTCTTAATAAGAAAGGGCTTATAGCCACACCTTCATATAAAGTGTTTACATTTGCATTAAGTGATGAACCAAACAGAGAACTTGAAACTGTAAGTTCAAAACCATCCAAAGAAATCATAGTCTCAGAGTGCCCTAGATGAGATTGCAAACTACATATGTACAACTTATTCTATGTGTTTAAAACTGTTTTCCATAGTTTGTAGCTGTTGCTGTAGGCTTCTGTTATAAGATTTCCTGCACAACTGAGTTTCACTTCTACAATAAAAATTCTAATTATTTCACATGCACTGGACTTGCTATACATGAGAAGTATTAGTGAGTCACACCAACTACTTGTGGGAATTAAACTTTGTTGCAGAACAAGATAAAGAATTCGGGTCTTAGTTCAAAATGCCAATTATCCATAGCTGCTGATTCCTGTGAGTCCTGATCATGTAGTAGCCATGTTCTCTGCTGAGCCTTTGGAAGATATACTCTGAAGCAAAAATTTCTTTTCTGGAACATGTAAGCATCAGCACAATTATTTGACTGCATACAAGGTTTTGAACTATAGAATAAAAAATAAAAACACATAACAGACAAAAAACCAGAAATCAATTAAATGCAAAGTGAAAACAAATATTCAGGTTGATCTACTATTCTAAGAAAAGTTGCAGAAAGGTAAGTATAACTTATCAATCATGAGATGAAACATATCCTTCTGAAAAACAGGCATTTGATTTCTCATTCCATTGCTGGATCAGGGTATTTATCTCTGAAAATAGTTTCCTGGCTTCTTTGTCATCTAGAAATTGAGACATTAAATCAGCCATGATTCTTCTAAGTTCCAAAAGGAGATTCTGAGAGAGACTGCTGCTGCCGAGCCATTGCTCAAGTATCTAGAGGACTGAATGCAAAACAGAACATCTCATTAATCAAAGCTTTCTTACTTAGGCAGTACACAGAATTAGCATGTCTTGAAAAAAATTCACACAATCAACAATAATACCAAAATGTCTCCCTAACAACCTCTCTAGACTCTGAAATTACTAATATGACAAAGGTTGATTTTCAATACAATTTTGACTGGCATGCGAGTTGTCAATGTAACAGGCACACAGACAGCTGACATCCTATGTAGTGCTGACCTTGCCTAAAGACCCAGGAATAGAAAAAAGATGGACTGAGGCTGAAATCAACCAAAAGCTGACCTCCACAGCCAATTACTCAGGCTTCCTTTACTAGACTTCTGCCTACACTGCAAATATGATGGAAGATAGCAGCCTTAATATTTTTGGAGTCCCATAATATAGAGATGGTGAAGGAGCCTGCATGCTCCCACTGCGAAGCCCAGAAATAAACGTAATGAGGCCAGGCCAAAATTACTGACTGTTGTCCTTCACCATTACCTTTCTTTTTAATGCTGAGTGAATACAACAGATTTACTCTAAGAGATATTCTGTTCACCAAGATAATTCACACTGGCCAGCAGCTTACAGTATTCCTGGTTCCCATAAGAACGTCAATCCTTGCTAAGAGTTTTAAAATCATGGCTGAAGTTATTATTGGATTTTCCTACATAGAAACTTGTCACCCTGAAAACTCAGCTTCTGAGCTTGCTAACATAGTTTTCTAAGGACTTTCCCAGGAGAGTAACTGTAAACATAGATATGTGTACATTCTTTCTGTTACACATCTTGTGATGGGCATCTCTCATGGCCAGTGCAGCGAGAAAGTGTTATCCTGACCATCCAGTCCCTGGCCGTGATCACAAGCCTATAAATCCTGTGAGGAAAAATAAACTCTGCTCTTTCTTTCACCACACCTCGACCTGTGTCCATGTGATCTATTCGTCTTCAGCGGTAACATCTGGTGACCCCGACGTGTCTTGCACGTGTGTTACAGGGTACTGTCTAGCCTGTGGCTATGGCTGTTTTTGGGCTCTCTCCTACAGAGGGCCTGGTTCTGGAGATATGGTATGCGGTGTTGGATCAGAGAGGGACTGATGTTTCGAATGCTGAGTTTCAGCAATTGTGTGAGTATGGCAAAGATGAGGGTTTTTTCCCTGTGGTTGAGGCTATGTTTTCGAAGTCGGCTTGGGACGCTTTAGGCGATTCCCTGCTCGAGGCTCTGCTGCTCGATTATGAGCCCCAGCTGGTCCGGCTCCTAAGGGTTTGGCGGCGGTGTGTCCGCGTTTTGCATAGTCGCTCGCCCTCTTCTGCGGGTTCTGTGGCCACTTTGTGTGAGTATGGCAAAGATGAGGGTTTTTTCCCTGTGGTTGAGGCCATGTTTTCGAAGTCGGCTTGGGACGCTTTAGGCGATTCCCTGCTCGAGGCTCTGCTGCTCGATTATGAGCCCCAGCTGGTCCGGCTCCTAAGGGTTTGGCGGCGGTGCGTCCGCGTTTTGCATAGTCGCTCGCCCTCTTCTGCGGGTTCTGTGGCCACTCTCTCTGATCTGGATGAGAGTGGTGACTCTGATTCCAGTTGTGGGAGCGAGGCGGAGCTCTCCCTCTCCTCCGGTGATGTGGGGTGGGTGGATGAGGCCCTGTCTCGACCAGCGCCCCGGTGGCGTCGGTCTAGGGTGGGGTTGGATTCTGGCCAGCGGGGTGTCAGAGGCACCGCGGAATGGGGGGACGTAACTCCGCCGCGTCCGGCGCCCCGGCGGCGTCGGGCTGGGGTGGGGTCGCCTTCTTGGTGTGCTTTCCCGGCACAGGCCGATGGGGGGCCGCCTGAGCGGAAGGTCGGCAGTGGGGAGCTGGCGGCTTCGGATCCACGGGGCCACCTCAGGTTCACTGGACTGCAGTTCTGGCAGCCAAGGATTGTCCTGAGCGGCTCTGCATCCTGTCCAACCCTGGTCAGAAGTCAGTCTTCGTGGACTTGACACAGGCGCAGATGTCACGATCATTGGGTCTGCCGACTGGCCCTCGGGATGGCCCTTGGACCCAGTGCAGACATCGGTTGTGGGGTTGGCAGGAGCCGCGCAATGCTATGTGAGCCGAAGGCCTGTGTCCATCACGAACCCCAAGGGGGACACGGCCATGGTTTGGCCGCATGTCACGAAAGACTCCCGGTTAACACTCTGGGGGAGGGACGTTCTGGTGCATGGGGGGTGTGTATGGGGA